CTGCACAAAAGTCTCACTACCTTGGAAGGGTTAACTGCCTGCTCATCTGTTTCCCCCAACTTAAATGCAGCAACTGAAAAGCTCTCTTTGAATTAAAAACTCTAAATATGGGAAATCGAAACAACACTCAAAGGGAACTGTGACTTATCCACACTTTCTTTCTGTCTCTCTCTCGCTCCTTCCCCATCTCCCTCTCTCATACTTATATATGCATTGTTTACAGAAGCATCATTAAAAATCTGGTCTTGGTTGTTACCTTCATCTACAGCCCAAAGTATGATGGTCACTATTTATGCTCCATGGCCAGGTTTCTTAGGAAGACAACTGTCAAATCCCATATTAAACTTTATGAACCAATGAAATTATTTCTCCGTATTAGTCAGGGTTCTCCAAAGATGCGTGTGTGTGTGTGTGTGTGTGTGTGTGTGTATGTAGAGCGAGAGGAGAGAGAGAGGTGCAGGTGTGGGGAGACAAAGCTTAAGGAATTGGTTCACATAATTCATCTTGTAATTCAAGTCCAAAGGCAGTCTTGAGGCAGAATTCCTTCTTCTCTGGGATCTCAGTCTTTTTTCTGAAGGCCTTCAACTGATTGGGTGAGGCCCACCCACATTATGGAGGGCAGACTGCTCAAAGTCTACTGATTTGAATATTAATCTCAACTTTAAAAAAACAAATTCACATTAACACCTAGACGAGTGTTTGACAACATATCTGGGCTCCACGGCCTAGCCAAGTTGACATATAAAATTAGATATCATACCTTCCCCGTACCATAGGGTGACACTTGGGTCCTAGTCTGAAAATCTTACACTTGGGAAGCCATGGGGGGGATGCTTCCTACAAAAGCAAGCCCAGGTGCCCAACCCCTGCAGGGTGGCTTAGCTATTTTACAGGTGAGAAAACCAAGTCCTAGAGAAAGGATCATTGAGTTGGTCCCAGGGTCCAAGAGCTGGGGGTGGAGTCAGAGCGGAAATCCAGCCTCACTGAGTAGAAGTTCCAAGCTCTTTCTTCTGCAACTCCTGGCTCTCCAGAGTCCTCGTCTGGGAGCTCCTAAGACGACCTTCTCATTTCGCTTCTTATTTGGGACATAACAGCCAGGCCCAAGCATGTTCAAACCATAAACTCAGGGAAGAAAATTAACTTATCTGGTGGGTGCTCCTTTCTGCTCCTGTCACCCACCTTGCAACCACCTTCTCACAACACAGAGCTCATGCACCCAGTAGTCACACACAGACCCATCCATGGGGCACATCTCTTTGAAAAGTGCTTTATTTCAGTAAGATCTAAGTCAGGTGCATTAAAACATATCAAAATGTTACAAAAATGTATGGCTCCCTACTGAGGCCTTGTCAGATTATGTTAGATGAGTAAATGCATCAGTGTATAAGTTCAGAACCAAACGTTGAACCAAGTCATGTACCATCGCTGAAAGGCAAGTTATAATTAAGAATACTTCACAAGGCTGAAACAATTCAGAAAACCCTTCAGAAACACTAGCAATTACACACCAGAAACATCAGCCTGGAAACAGGTCTGCGATCTGCAGGGAAGACTCCAAAGGTAAACTGAGGGTTTCCCATCATAGCCTGTGCATCTTGTGCTCAGTTGAATACAGTTAAAACACAAGGGGCACTTAAACACCTCCCTTGGGATACGGCAAAGCTTTCTATTACATCTGGAAGAAGGGGTGTCACATTCATTCTTACTTTTACATCTCTAGGAAATCATATCTCATTTCATCTGAGTGAAGCAAGACTTTGTGCAAAACGATTGAAGTGGAAACGTGAAAATGTGTGCTGCTATATCAGGGATGCTCATGGTGATCTCCTGTCTCCTATCTCGTGCTCCACGTCATGGTTCGGCCGCTGTAAGACACTGAAATTGCCTTGTTCATGTAGAAATCTCTCTCTTGGCTGGGCTTTGTGGCTCACGCTGTAATCCCAGCACTTTTGGAGACCTAGGCGGGTGGGTCGCGAGGTCAGGAGTTCAGGATCAGCCTGGCCAAGATGGTGAAACCCCATCTGTACTAAAACCACACAAAAAAATTAGCTGGGCGTGGTGGCGGGTCCCTGTAATCCCAGTTACTCAGAAGGCTGAGACAGGAGAATCGCTTGAACCCTGGAGGCGGATGTTGCAGTGAGCTGAGATCGCGTTACTGTACTCCAGCCTGGGCAACAGAGCGAGACTCCGTCTCAAAAAACAAAAGAGAAATCTCTCTCGGCGATGTATCTACAACACCACATTCTCTGTGCTACACAGCTTTGACATAAAACGTGGTTTTTGGTTGTTTTGTTGTTGGTGGTGGTTTCTTTAAAGAGAATTCCCTTTTCTTAAGAGAGCTTCTTGCTCTTCTGTGGCCAATTTCTCTCTCCACCCTCCTGACACTTTGAAATAACCATTCAACTCTACAGAATTCTCGTTGAGACTTTTTCGCATGGAAAACAGATTTCTTTGGGGGGGCATTATATGCCACCGATATTAGGATAAAATGTCTTTACCTAGAGGTTTCTAGGAGAGAGTACTGTTTTCTTTTGGTGAGGGAAGAGAGGATGGTGAAAATATTTTTCCTTGAAGCATCAGCATGTCTCAGATCAAAATCTTGACCCAAGGCCTCAGCATTTTTCTTGCAGATGGGTGGCTAATATCCTGAAATCCTCTTGCTTCAACTCAACTCCAAGTTGAAGTCCATCCAGCCTGGAGACCAATGTGCATGTTCTTCACCAACACGTACAGGCAAGACTATCTTTTGTGCTTTTCAGCCTCTCCCCAAGATAACCCCCTTGCCATTTAAGACATCACCTTCCCTCTCATGTGATCACAGGGAATGTGACCTTGTGCTTAATTCCACCATCCCAGCCAGATGGGCTCAGGTTTTTCCTTCACTTGATCACCTTGTAACATAAGCCCCTGCCGGGGGGTTGCAGGGGGTGGGGGGGAGCCAGATGCAGCTAAACTGCTTTTCACGAGTTGGAAAAAAAAAAACCCAACCCAATAAATTGGTCTTTTGTTCTTTACGCAATTTCAGGTTCATTGCACACAATTACGTAAACTCCCACAAATCGGTTGAAAAGTTCAAAACTGCAAGAGCATGTGATACCAGTGAGAAAATCTGCTCCACACTGTGGCAAAGCGTCTCTTTTTCAACTGCTGCTATTTCAAAGAACCTGTCTAAAATTTCTGATCAGGTTCTTAGGATGTGAGAAATGACCTCTAAACAGGGCAGGACAAAATGGAAAAGTGTGGTCTGCATTACGTGGAAGTGTATTGTGTAAAATGGGATCTCCTCTCACTTCCACCTCCTGATCTCCCATCTTTAAAAAGGTGAGTCTGCCTTAGTATTGCTCCCTTGGAAAGTGATCTGGCCAACTGGACATGTTGCAGTATTTCCACATTTAACACTATCGTAGTGCTACTGCAAATCAAAGAGAACTCTTAAAAGCCAGAAATCGCTGTCCAACAAGAGCCAGTGGTTAGTAGTTTGCCTTGTGGAAATTCTCCCAAGTCCTCCAAGGAGAATTACTGGGGCCAACTGAGGTTTTGAACATTCAAAATAAGAATTACCAGAAGAGAAGTTCCCCATATCATTTTCTCAAATGCAAGATTCAGGTGTTTGCATTCACAGAACTGTTCTTTCCCAGCTGTAACAAAGGAAGCCTCTCCCGGTGCCCACTCCTTGTCTTCTTACCCCAATTCTGTGCAGTTTGCAGAAGCCCTTCTGGGTTTCCACTCCATGCCCCACAGGACTGGTGCTGCTATCCCTATGGAGGAAGGAGACTTGCTATAAAACCCCAGCAAAATTTTGCCAGGGGCAGCGTGCCATCTTTTTGCAGTCTACATTGAGACCACAGCTATGAGCCTTCTAAAGAAGCCATAGGTATGAATGGGGGGCAGGAAGGTACCCAGGCCAGAAACATCTCCACCAAAAAGGCCCACCTTCCTTTGGAGGCACCAACCAGGGACTGTCGTTTCCTCAACTGCCCAGCTCTGCAAACCTTCTGTGGAGAGAAGGTGGAGAAGAGACGGGCAGTGTCTCTACCTCAGCTAGGCTCAGAGACGCCCACTCTTAGGAGCTACTGGTGTTGCTTGGTCGATCTCCACAGCCAGGCACCCAGGTCCAAGCATCTATCTCCCTCCTCAGACTGTATCAGCTGCACTGATGCCCAGCTGTCTGGCAAGCTTCCTGATGGGAGTCCCAGGGCACAGACCGTTCTTGCCCTTTCCCCCTCATTGGGGTTGGCTCTAAAGACCACCTAGGTGGCTGCTCAGAGAAGCTGAGAAGTTCCATCCTCCCCATGCCCCTTCACCAGGTGGCCTAAAGAGCTTTCCTGAACCCCAGACTCAGCAGCAAGATAAGGCTTCATTCTTGGAATGCATCTCCACACACAAGGTGAGGGCAAGTTGCAAGAACCCAGAGGTTAGAAAGAATGAAGTCTTGACTGCAAACATGGCCCCAGCTTCAAGTGCAGGAAGACCCTTGATGACGTGAAGATGGGCTGGGTTCAAGGCACCTGTCATTTCTGTAGGCAGCCTTGACACTTCCCTTCAACCTGGAACTTCCTGGCCACCAGGCCACCAGGCCCTGGACACACTAGCTGGTCAGCACTGTGTGCACACCAGCGAGATCTTTGTTTCTTGAGACCTTTCCTTCCACTCAAGGAAGCACCGGAGAGACGGGTTGTCAGCTGGGCGGGAAGTCAGCTGGGTACAGAGAAATACACAGATCCTCTCTGCTCCCAAAGGTAGCCATGGAGGCAGGGATGGGAGGCAGAATCCACTCTTTTCACAGGTTTCCTTCCACTCAAGGAAGCACCGGAGAGACGGGTTGTCAGCTGGGTACAGAGAAACACACAGGATCCTCTCTGTCTCCTAAAGGTAGCCATGGAGGCAGGGATGGAGGCAGAATCCACTCTTCACAGGTTTCCACAGAGAACATCACATATGTCTTTCTCATTTAAAACAATCAAGGTTTCCAGTGTAAAAATAAGTGGGCTTATTGCATCTACCCTATGGATGGTTTATCTTTTTCTTTCCATCAGACTTGCTGCAAGTTATGTGGCTGTTATTTTGTTAATTTCCAAGGCTCTCACATTCACTGATCCTTCTAGGCATACAGGGAGAGTTTCTACCAACATATAAACAACCCAAATGGTGAACCTGGAGAACCCTCTTCCCTTTCTAAACACAGGCAGACACGTGGCTGCTCCCTGGCACTTGAGAGGAGAAATCTTTCCTTCAACCTAAATACCACTCAGCTTAGTGGTTCCTCTGATTTCCCTGCCCACGAGCTGCACATTCGCCAGGCTCAGGCTCTTGTGCTGGTTGCCTGGAATTTAATTACGTGTGAAAGTATCAGGTAGGCATGTGGACACGTACCATGCGTGCGCACACATGTACACACACACATTTTGGGTCCTCCTTATAACTAAAATCAAAAGTCCTTGTGAGTGGAAGAAAGGAGGGCAGGGGTGCAGGGATGGGGAGCTGTCTGCTGACTTCTACATCCAGCTCCAGGTAACAAATGATGGCTTGGCCGGAGCTGGGGAGGTTTGTGTCTAAATGTTTCCATGGAAAGAAAGTGCCCAGCTTCCTGGGGGTTTTATGGCAATGGCGGCTCCTGGGGTACCCGGATCCCCTCGTTCTCGTGGCTCAGATGGTTGCTGGGGTCTCGGCTATCTCCTCCAGCCTCTGCCGAATCATTAACCGGAGCACGGTGTACCTGGAGACAAGAAACAAGCTCAGGTGGAGAGCAGCCAGCAACACACCCCTCCCCAGGACCTTCCCGGCCACCTAGGTAACACCACGGTCACACCAGGTAACAGTGCGGTCAAGCGCCCTGCTCCTTCGCTTCCATTACTGACCCCTCTTTAGCTACTTTGTTGCTAATGTTCATTCCTACAACACGATGAGAGGCAATAAAGAGGCCAAATCCAAATTAGATTATTTTACTATGGGTAGAACATCTGGCCAAAAAAAATCAAAAAGGTAAAAAAAAAAAAAAAAAAAAACCAGCAATAATAAGCATACTACGAATTCTCTGTGTTTGCTTATTGTGTCCAAGACACTATGCATAGCACTTCACATGCACAGTAGCTCATGAACCCTCACCGAGGCTAGATAATATAAAATTGCTAACAGTTGACCCTCTTGGGGATCCTACAAAAATGGCAACCTTAGAACCTGCATTTTGCAGAAGAGGCCACAGCAGCTACTAGGCATGGAGGTCCGTGGCTTGGGGGAAGTTCGGTTTTCCCACGACTTCCCTGAGCTGTGGCACTGCAGCTACAGGAGTGGGCACTGTTGTGCAGGGATAAACGGACATATTCCTTATGTTCGGGACTTTGTGGTACACAGAAAAATCTGTTTTTAAAGTTTAGGATATAGTTGACTGGGCATGGTGGCTCATGCCTGTAATCCCAACACTTTGAGAGGCCGAGGCGGGTGGATCACTTGAGGTCAGGAGTTCAAAACCAGCCTGGCCAACTTGGCAAAACCCCGTCTCTACTAAAAATGCAAACAAAAGTAGCTAGATGTGGTGGTGCGTGCCTGTAATCCCAGCTACTGCGGAGGCGGAGGTGGGAGAATCATTTGAGTCTGGGAGGTGGAAGTTGCAGTGAGCCGAGATCGCGTCACTGCACTGCAGCCTGAGCAACAGAGCAAGACTCCATGACCAAAAAAAAAAAAAAAAAAAAAAAAAATCCCAAAACTTTAGGACATAGTAAGTGTTCAGTGTGTTATCAGAGTAGTTATGATCATCGATACAGCAGATCCAGCTGTGGCTTTATTCTCCATTGGCAAAAATGAATCATTTATTCCACCATAGCGATGAAAGGCAGTCTCTTCTATGACTAAACATAGCAAAAAAATCACAAAATCCTTCCCAGAAAGAAGCTTTATTTTTCAATCCAAATGCAATGTCCAGAAGATAAATGTTACAAAGGGAGGACACGGGAGAAGAAAGGATTTTAGAGGCCAGTAGCTCCGGCTACATCCACTGCTAAGACAGCCTTCCTGAAATCCCTGGAACCTCTGGGTCTTGGTTAGCACTCCTTGCCCTCACCCCTTCAGGCAAGGGGTGGTAACACTAGCCCCAGGGACTGCACTATCCCTTGAGGTTATCCCAGACTCTGCCTAAGTCTTTGTAAATAGTCCCTTCTTCAAACACCCCTCAAAGACCCTCATCGGAGTCTCCTGCTGGGAGCCTGATCATATACTTAAGAAACCAGTGTACAGTCACCTCCCCTATTTCTGAATCTAGACCCCAAAGAAATTTTAAACCAACACCTTCTTTTCAGAGTCTTTCCATAAGAGGGAGGACAAGAGACACTTTGATGTCCCACATCAAAATGAGAAGCTGACACAAGAAGTAGACGAACACACTTAACTATCATGTCCCCACTTGAAATCCAGGTTTGTCAATGGGCAGCCCCCCAAAGAAAGCCCAGAGACCCAGGCCCATGCAGCAGCTCAGCACAGTCCCTGCGAGGACCCAGCAGGGGCCCCTCTGTTGAGGCCCCGGGAGAAGTGCACCCAGCGCCCCAGAGGCCACGCTTACTTGCGCATCAGCTTCTTTACTTCCCGATCTTCTTCCTCCTGGAGCTTCTGAATGAAGCTTTTAAGTACCGGCATCTCGAACTTTATATACTGGGCCACCTGGGGAGAAAGAAGCAAGTCTGGGTGAATGCCCTTCCCAGCATTGCTCCAATTGCTTTCAGGGTTGTCCTCATACAAGGCACAAAGTCTTGGAAAGTCTATTTTTTTCAGAAACCCAGGATTTCCTTAAAGGCAGGAGCCAAGCCTCATTCCTCACCAGGCTGGGAAGGAGTCTGTGACGATCACTTCACTTACATGACACCATCTCAAAACTTTTCATTTTTCATGTCATGCATTCAATTCATGATGAGGTGACGCCAAACACAGAAAAGTACTTTCTCTTGATACAGTGATGCAGAGAAAGAACTGAACCCGTTATGTCTAATAAACCCCTTTGTTCTCCCCTAAGAGAATGGAAGGAATCAGTATTCAGAATGATGATTTGGGTCTCAAGGTTCAAATAAGCATCCAAATATGAACTTGCTTTGGAGAGGCTGTGGGTGGCTCTGGGGTGAGTTAAAGTTTAAAAACGGTGCCAGGCATCGTGGTCCATGCCTGTAATCCCAACACTTCGGGAGGCTGAGGCAGGCGGATCGCTTGAGGTCAAGAGTTCAAGACCAGCTGGCTGACATGGTGAAACCCCATCTCTACTAAAAATACAAAAATTAGCCAGGCATAGTGATGCACACCTGTGGTCCAAGCTACTCAGGAGTCTGAGGCAGGAAAATTGCTTGAACCAGGGAGGTGCCACTGCATTCAAGCCTGGGCAACACAGCGAGACTCTGTCCCCCTGACAAAAAAAAAAAAAAGTTAAAAAATGGCTTCCCTTTCCCCACCAGAATCCCCACCCTGCTCTATCAACTCTTCTCCCTGGGAGAAGCGTATTTCTCCACACTTCTAATGTCGAGCTTGTCCATGTGACTGGCTTTGGCCAGTGGAATGTATGTGGACATGACACACCAAATCTGAGTAGAGGCTTCAAATATGCTTACATGATTTGGCCTGGTTTCTCGTGCTCCACCATCGGCTGTGAGGAGCACAGCCATGAGCAGTAAGTACTGCCCCAACAGCCTGGGCCTCTGGGTGAGTCACACAATGCAGACTTGAACTCAGCCCACACTTAGAGTAGAGCCATTGCTACTAGACCATAGAATCATGGGGAAAAAATAAATGTTTGCTGTTGTAAGCTACTAAGGTTTGGAGATGTTTGTTACTGTAGCAAAAGCTGACTATTACATGGCTTAATTCTTGTATTATTTTTTTGTGATGGGGTCTTGCTGTATCTATCACCCAGGCTGAAGTGCAGTGGTGCCATCACAGGTCACTGCAGCCTAAACCTCTTGTTCTCAAGTGATCCTCCCACCTCAGCCTCCCAAGTAGTTGGGACCACATGCACACACCACCATGCCCAGTTACTTAAAACCTTTTTTTTTTTTTTTTTGTAGAGACAGAGTCTCGCTTTGTTGCCTGGACTGGTCTCAAATCACTGGCCTCAAGCAATCCTCCTGCAGCGACCTCCCAAAGTGTTAGGATTACGGGAGTGAGCCACCGCAACCAGCCAACTGCTAACTTCCTAGCATTGCTAAAAGAGTGTTTGCAGACACTTCCCATCCCTCTGACAGTAGCCTAGGAAAGCTCAAGCAATTTATTCCTTCTATGGAAATCACTTTGTGCCTGGGCATTCCTCCAGCAACTCCCTCAGGGCATACCTTCAACCTGGCTTCAAGAGAACCTGGCACTGAAGAAGTAAAAGGGGGCATGGTCATTGGTCAAAAAAGTCATTCTATACCCCAGTTACAGGTGATCCAACCAAATCCCCACCCTCCTGAGGACAGACCACCTGACCCAAAGGGAACTCACATCATAGGTGACTTCCTCCACCTGGTCCTTCTCCATTAGGAACACTTTGGAGACCTGCTCACATGGGCCCTGGAGGATTCGGGCAATCAGCGGGTAATCGGTGGCCTTCAGCTTCTGTTTCTCTGCAACCACACACAACCAGGAGCAGCCCTGAGTTTGGCCAGAGGACTTTCTCACATTAAGTAGTGGTCAATGCAGGGGTCCAAATGGACTAGGCACCTTAGGAAATGCCACCATATAAGTCAGGAGACTGATTTATAAATGAACTATTCCATAGGTATTGTGAAAAGCAACCTCCTCCCACTCCCCACCCCTCAACAGTACCACCATGCCTCCAACCCCTTGGAGGAATTGGGTTTATCTGTCTCTTGAGAAAATCTAGTTCCTTTTTTAATAGACAGGTTTAGAATTTGTTTACTGGCCATATAAGGCAATCCCTAGTGGACTCCCACAGCAAGCCCATCAGCCTTGAAGGCAAACAACATTTGGAAGTTTCCGAAACCCAAACAACAAGCAAAGGAGGCAGAGGTATTTTTTTAACTTGCTATTTTGAGTTAATTAGAAGTTTGAAAGTACACTGTGGTCTTCAGACTTACCACCACTCGTATGCACCACGTACAAGGCAAACTCCTCTGCTGAATTCTCAATCTGAAGCAGGAGCAAAAGATACTTGTTGAAAGTATCTATTTAAACATCCCAACTTCGAGGCTTTTCCTCTTCTTTAACAATGCAAAGCTAAGTCGATTTTAGGCTGTTTTGAGGGGAGAGCTATTTATCTACAACTCTCGGAATTGATGAGAAGATCGAGAAGGTAGATGACTTTATCAATAATATAGTCATGTGCTTAACCACGAGGATGCATTCTGAGAAATGGATCACTACGCAATTTCATTGCTGTGCAAACATCATAGAGTGTACTTACAGAAACCTGGATGGCATAGCCTACTACACACCTAGGCCATATGGTATAGCTATTGCTCCTGGACTACAAACCTATACAGCATGTTCCTGTACTCAATGCTGTAGGCACTTGTAACACAGTGGTAAGCATTTGTGGATTTAAACATATCTAAACACAGAAAAGGTACCATAAAAAAAGGATTATAATCTCATGGGACCACTGTCATATATGTTGTGTGTCATTGACCAAACTGGTCGTTCTGTGGCACACAACTAGGATGGATAATAGCTATCATCTATCGCAATGTGCCAGGCATAGTTCTACAAATGTTAACGGTTTCATCCCATCTAATGTTCACGACAATACTGTAGCGAAGTCCCGTTATCTTCATTTTATGATGACGAAGCAGAGGCAGGGGCAGGTTAAGTAACTTGCCCAATTCATCCAACTAGCATGTGCTCAATGGAGATTTGGACCCAGAGCCTGTGTTCTTAGGTTGTTAGGCTACACTGGCTTCCATTAAAAGTAAGAATACCTGGTCTCCAAAAGATCTCTGGTCTCCAAGAGATTGTGGAAAACACAGAGCAACAGAACTTTAAAAGCACTCCTGCACTATAATTTGCACAAAGTGTCATATTTCAAAGTAGGTTTCCCAACTGTGTCCCAGAAGTCAATTTTCGCACTGAGCCCAAAACCAGTCAGCAGGCCCCAGGGTCCTTCTAAAGTAGAGCATAAAGGATTTGAGGGTTGATGTTTCTCAAACTTCGGTAGGCATCCAAATCCCCTGCAGGCTTGTTAGATGGTGTCCCTGGCCTACCCCTCAAAATTTCTCATTTAGTGGGTCTGGGGTGGGGCCTGAGAATCTGAATTTCTAACAAGCACCCGGCTGATGCTGATGCTGTGGACTTTGTCTTGGATCACGAGGATCTAAAGAACCCAAGCCCTCTGCTCAGCATCCCGCAAACCACGCAACTTCCATAGCTCCTCGCACAACCACTCTAGGGGCCCAAGGCACACCTGTGACCCCATCTGTGGCCAGCCAGCAATGGGAACTTGCCTTAAATTTGTTGAGCAGCAGCTTCAGGACCTGTGGGGTGGTCATGGTGCTGTTGATGCGGACGTTGGTGACAGAGCCATAGGCTGGTGTGAACACGGACGTCTGTCAATAGAAGGATCCAGCTCAGAGTGGGAGTGGGAAGAAGGACCCAGTGCTAAAATCCAGGTGCGGTACAGGGCACAGTGACAATGATATTCAAAATATACTTCCTGAGAGCCCCCGGCAGCCTGGCAAGCAGCAGGCTTTGTAGACAAAGCAACCCTCGGGGTTTGCATAATTCAGTTCATGCTCCACACTCAAAAAGACCCTTCCGCTGGGACTTCAGCACAAGGCTGTCTCTGACTACTCTCCCACCGTGCGCTTGCTTCCTGGGGTAGGATTTGAACAAAGCAGGAGAAAGGGAGGGACCAGCAAGCTCGGGTGGGGTGGGCGGTGCACTGACACCCCAGGTCTGAGACCTGCAGCTCTGCTTCAGCTCCGGGAAAAGTCAGACCATACACCAGTTGGGGGCACAGTGTGTGGGAGAGTAACACGTGGATTTTCTTGGGAGAGACTGATGAGCTGTGTTTATGGGGTCTTCAAGGCTACAGCAGAGACTGCTTTGTATAGCCCCACTGAATTCACCCACCACCTTAAGGGGGACCCACAGAAGGACTTTGAGCCTTCTGACCTGGAGTCCCTCAGCCCTCAGGAAGCCAGCAGAGCTTGCAGCCCACCCACAACCCAAAGACTAAACAGTAGCAAACACGTGGCTCCCCAGGCATCACACCACCCACCATATGGCTATAGCCCTGAGGTGGCATCTACCCAGGAAGAGGTCTTCCCCCCTCCCCATCCCCCGTCCACCTTACCTTATGGTTGTAGAAATGGCCATTGATGGAGAAGCGGTGGCGTCTGATTCGCCGCTGGTCACTAGGCGTCCTCACATTGCCACGGCGACGCACCCCAACATCACTGCGTGTGCGCATCAGCTGTGGGGTGTCCTCCTGCAGGGGCTTCAGGCCCCTGGTGTCTGAGAGAGGAGGGGGAAATGAACTCTGTCTGGACCTGCGACATGGCACATGGTCCCCACTTTGTGCCCAGTGCTACAGCCCCCACTGTCTCAAAAATATATATTTTATACAAATAGTATTTTCTGCTGGGGGAAAAACATAATGCAGAATTTACAGAGAAGCTATATGGTGATAAGTTCAGAGCACAGACTTCCAAGCCAGACTCCCTGGGTTCAAATCTCAGCTCCACGATTGCCATATATCAGTAACCTCTCTGTGCCTCGGTGTTTTTATATATAAAATAGGGATAATAGTAACACCCACCTCAGAGGGTTTAAATGAGTTAATATGCATAAAGCACTTAGAATAGTGCCTGGCACAGAATAAACGTGACATAAGGGCTAACAAGATACTGCAGACGAACTCTGGCACATGCTACACATGGATGAATCTTGATGACATTACGCTAAGTGCAACAAGCCCATTACAAAACAGCAAATATGGAATGATTCCACGTATATGAGGTACTTAGAGTGTACCTCATATAAGCGTATCTCATATAATTGAGGTACACTCTAAGTATGTTCTAGGTACATTCAAAATTACAGAGACAGAGAGTAGAATGGTGGTTGCCAGGGGCTAGAGAGAGAAGGATATGGGGAGTTATTGGGAGTTCAATGGGTACAGAGTTTCAGTTTCACAAGATGGAAAGAGTTTTCGAGATGGATGGTGGTGATGGTTGCGCAACATTATGAGTGTATTTAATACCACTGAACCGTACCACTTAAAATGGTTATGATGGTAAATCTTATGCTATGTATATCTTACCGCAATAAAAAAATTAGAAAAAAGAATGCTTAATAGAACATATATCTAAAAATATATGGGGTTCCCATGGCATATTTCTATCCTTGTATGTGTATAAATATAAAATATTGACATTAATCACAAGAAGGTTAATCTGCTCTTATTAAAATATATTTAATCCATGTAATATAAAAAAGATTTTGCAAACTGACAATATCTATGAAAATTAAAAATGCACATGACCCTAAGAAATTCCACTTGAAAGAATTCTACACGCTGACAAATGTGTGACATGACACATGCATAAGGCCACCAACTGCAAACTTATTTGTCACAGCAGAGGCTGAAAATGACTTAAATGTCTACCAATAGGGAGTGATTACATAAATTATCCTTTTTCCATACAATGAAATAATACAGAGCTGTAAAGAATAAGGAAGTTCTTTACAAATTTATATGGAAAAATTCCCCAGATAAACTGATAAATAAAAACTGGGATCTGCACAATGCTACCACTTGTATAACTACGGGAAGAAAAGAAACTGCACAGGCGTGGTGGCTCATGCCTATAATCCCAGCACTTTGGGAGGCTGAGGCGGGCAGATCACTTGAGGCCAGGAGTTCAAGACCAGCCTGGTCAACATGGCAAAAACCCATCACCACTAAAAATGCAAAAATTAGCTGGGCATGGTGGTGCATGTCTTTAATCCCAGCTACTCAGGAGGCTGAGGTGGGAGGATCACTTGAACCCAGGAAGCAGAGCCAAGATTGCATTACTGCACTGCATCCTCCTGGGTGACAGAGGGAGATGAAGGGAAGGGAAGGGAAGGGAAGGGAAGGGAAGGGAAGGAGAGGGGAGGGAAGGGGAAGGGAGGGAAGGGGAGGGGAGAGGAAGAAAGAAACTACATCCACCCATGAAGGTATGTGAGTGTGTTTTGCTCATATTTGCATGGACCATCTCATGAAGGATGTTCTTGGGATGCTTCTAGGTGGGTGGATGAGGTAGGTGATTTAATTCTCTCCCTTTATATCTTGAACCATATACATTTTACATTCTGAAAAATAAGTAACAGTTGACAACATCTATCACAGCAGTCTTGACACAGTTGGTCCCTAGCTGGAAGCACCTTCCACTCACCTGTACCTGTGGGGCCTGGCATCTGGTCACCCTCCGGCGGTGCATCCACCTCTGAGATCTGAACATTGGGCACAGTCAGGGACTTCAGGGTGGTTCTGGGGGTGGAGAAGACAAAGGGGAGCGGGGAGACTAGTTTAACCCCTGTGGAAAGATGCCCCGCATCTGCCAGACCCCACTCTTGCAAGGGGAGCACTTTGCTAGTGCCAGGCTGGGTACTGGCACACATCAGACGATGAAGGGTACAGATGGGCTGTGCTGAGCATCCCATGAAAGCCTGGCCCAGCTCCCAGGTCAAGCAGTGGGTGGTGCAGGGGGAGTTCTGGAGGGAGAAGATGTTCTTTTCCAGCATCTGCAGCAACACAAGCATCCAATTCATCAAGCCCAGGATGGAGAATACCAAGGAGAGAAACCCATGTGCTGCCCGCACTGCTTCTAAGCATGTATGGGCTCTATAGCTTATTTGGAAAACTCTAATAATGGCCATTTATTTTGCAGGGTAAGATTCCAGTTCACACTCATTGCTGTTGAAGAAATAACTCATAATTGATTCTGGCATTTAAAAGGAATGGAAAGTAAGAGGTTGGCCACCACAAGGGCAGGGGCAGCTTTGGAAGGGGCACTGACAGTGTTCTCAGGGTTGCAAGGATGGAGTTCTAATCCAAGCTGAAGAAAGGGTTACAAGTAAGGCAGTCCAAGCTGAGACCCTGGTTTGCCATCATAACTGGCAAATAACTTCTCAAAGCCAAAAAGGACAAAGGGAGCAGTTCATGAAAACATCCAAAATCAACAGAGGATTCGGCTGTAAAGGAGAATCATATTTGACCAATTAGGACCAACCCATGGTGAGAAGAGCATGGGCTCCCTGGGACCCAGTAGAGATAAAGCTCATGTTCTGGGGAGGATCGTTTTAAGGAAGGACAATTAAAATTGAAAATCTGAAAGAACTTCCTATTGTAATTTAACTCATATACTTCTGAGCCATAGAATGGGCCTGGTCAGAGCTTCTGGGGAATGGTGAACAATTGGCACCCAGAGCAGCCACTCCCACTCCGTGATTTAAATCCCTCATTCTTGCTGAAGCAGGAACTGGTCTCAGCATCCTTTTTTTCTTTTTCCTTTTTTTTTTTTTTTGGTGGGGAAGGGGGACGGAGTCTTGCTCTGTCACCCAGGCCGGAGTGCAGTGGTGCGATCTTGGCTCACAGCAATCTCTGCCTCCCAGGTTCAAGTGATTGTCCTGCCTCAGCCTCCTAAGTAGCTGAGATTATAGCCGGTTGCCACTGTGCCTGGATTTTTTTTTCTTTTTTTTTTTGGTAGAGACAGGGTTTCACCATGTTGCCCAGGCTGGTCTTGAATTCCTGAGCTCGTGATCTGCCCACCTCAGCCTCCCAAAATGCTGGGATTATAGGCGTGAGCCACTGTGCCCAGCCTCAGGATCCTTCTTAAGACAGTAGTCTAGCATTCACTGTATTATAGCTGACACCTAAAAGACATCATTTACCATTCCTGAAAATTCTACCAAAGTATTTTGCAGGTTTCAAGAGTCAACCAAGACCAGCTTGAGGCCACAGAGAAGGGAGAAAAAGCAGGCAGAGTGAAGGACCCCTTAGCAGCCCAAACGAAAGGCCACAGGGTCAAATGAAATCTTAAAAATCATCTCACTTAGGGAATAGAATAGTGTGGGGGTCAGGGTCAGGCTGTGAAATAGGCTTGGCCATTGGAAATCAAATACAGCAATAATACAGTATAGTATAGCAAATACAGTACAGTGTAAAAAATACAGCTGGGCATGGTGGCTCACACCTGTAATCTCAGCACTTTGGGAGGTCAAGGTGGGAGGATTGCCTGAGGTCAGAAGTTTGAGACCAACCTGGGCAACATAGTGAGACCCCATTTCTACAAAAAATACGAAAATTATCCAGGTAGGGCCAGGAACGGTGGCTCACGCCTGTGGTCCCAGAACTTTGGGAGGTTAAGGAGGGTGGATAACTTGAGGTCACGAGTTCAAGACTAGCCTAGCCAACATGATGAAATCCCCTCTCTACCAAAAAATACAAAAAATGACTGGGTTTGGTGGTGGGCACCTGTAATCCCAGCTACTCAGGGGGCTGAGGCACAAATCGCTTGAACCCGAGAGGCAGAGGTTGCCGTGAGCTGAGATCGCACCACTGCACTCCAGCCTGGGCAAGAGAAAAAGAAAAAGGTGGTGGGGGGTTGCACCTGTAGTCCCAGCTGCTGGGGAGCCTGAGGTGGGAGGATCACTTGAGCCTAGGAGGTTGAGGCTGCAGTGAGCTGTGATTAAGCCACTGCACTCCAGCCTGGGAAACAGAGCGAGACCTTGTCTCAAACAAAACAAAACAAAAATGCGGTGATAGTGCTGAAAAGCAGAGCATGAAACCAGCAAAGTTAGATGAAACCAAAGAACGTTAACCAGACATCCTAGCGCCTGTGGGGTAGGCAACAATTTTCCTCCTTAAATCCCCTTGGAAAGAAACCAGACCAGCCCCAGGGTTTGGCCACATACTAGGTTTCTCTCAATAGTAGAGAAACACAGATTTGGCTGTGGAGTTTAGCAAAATGTTCAATGTGACCAACAGAGAGGGCTTGGTTCTCATTTAAACCAGAAAACAAAGGTCACTGTGGTTTTGGCTGAGAGGCGAGCACACTCCACCCAGGCTGGGGCCGAAGGCAGTCAGCATCAGCAGGTTTCAGGATGGAGCCAGGCTAGTCACTTGATCCTAAAACTCAAGTCCCAGAAAGACAATGAAGAAGGCACGCCTTGCTAGAGGCATCTGGCGGTGCATTCCGCGGCTTATTCAGCCATGGAGGATAAGGAGGGATGGACTAGGTCTTCCCAGCCCTTCTGGTGGGGACCTGGACTACCCACCATCACACCACACCCTGGCTTCCCGAGCGGTCTGCAGGGAGCAGACCCCTGGCTGATCTTGCTTAGCTGACTTTGACAGAGCCTGACATTCCTTTTCCTCTTCCAGGTTCCCCCAAGATTCAGAGAGCTTTGGTCAGAAGGTTCAAGTCGTAAATGCCTTGGAGTGGGGCCATTCTATGAGGAGTGGTCCTAGTCGGGAGGATGCTGGGGCATGGGGCGCTCTGTTAGAAATCTGCAGACTGGGCCTCACTAGCCACTAGCAACTCCACTCAGAGACTCCTGAGTTCTCCCTAAGGGAGGACTCTGTGACTCAGCAGCTCCCCTCCTATGACTCAGCAGCTCCCTTCTGTGACCTCATCGGTGATTGTGGTGACAGGAAGGGGGTCCAATCACAACCATGTCTGCCCCTTGTTCCTCATTCCAAGGCCAAGGCAGGTGGGCAGTAGAGGTGGCAGGAGGAGGAGCCAGGGTCAGGGCTGGCTGGAAGAAGGCAGCATTTATTGGCTTGAGAACACACAGAACCTCCAGGCATCCCGGTCATCTCCCCGCACCATCTCTTCTGACTCACCCCTGAGCCCCCAGGTTACAGCCGGAGTGCCAGGAAGAGGAGGACGGAGGGGGCCGAATGCGTTCGTTGTCATCCTGCATCTGCAGGCGAATGGGGCGGCGCAAGCCCCAGGAGATGTTCAGGAGTCCCTCCACGATGAACTCGTCTTCTTCCTGCCCACAAAGCAATCAGAGTGGTGAGCCTGGAAAAGCCCCCACAGACGCCAAGACCATGCTGAGGTACAAATGACACATTCTTCATATGTCCTAGCTGGGTGCCCCAGATTCTATTCACAGGATGGGGGTAGCTGCCGAGTTCACACCCCAGCTCTGAGATACTTTCTAAGGTAAACTACCCTAGATCCTGAAGCGGACCTCACAGGTCAGCACAAAAGTTGCTGTGAAATTCAAATACATAGGTGCAAATTATAAAAGCGTTGTTTTTCTTCTTATCCTGATGACTTTTAAAGAAAGCAGAATACATCTCCTAAAATAAGTGAGATTAGCCTTGCTAACAGAAGCAAGAACTGGAGTTAGCTATGTCCCATCCCCTACCATGGAAAATGATGTCTCTGTAGCTATAACATATGTTTAGCAACCCAACCTGGTGGTTGAAGGAAATTTAAAGCAACATTTGCCGAAGTTTATTCTACAGAACACCACCTCCTCTAGCAGATGAACTGTTGTCTTTAAAAGGGTGTCAAGTGATCATGAGCTGGGAGAGGCTGTGCTAATCAGATTTCCAAACAGCAGAACGTCCGAGGTTCTGTAATCAACTAACGGGCTAAATGACAACTCTGCAACAGGTGAATAAATCTTGCAGGAGTCCCCAGTTTATTCTCAAAGGTTGCTGACTAATTAGATGTTAAATGTAAAACCATTCTAAAGGCATTTATATGTTCTATCCCAAAGACTTGGGACTCGCTTATGACTATGAAATCCTTTAATCATGGAGCACTTTTAATCATGTATTCGATAGGACATAACCCAGGAAAGCTATTTATGAACTATTTAAAATCTTGCATGGCCCAGCTGCTGATTAGTAAAAGCTTGAAGGGCAATCCCTAAAAGAATCAGTTCTCCTCCCTCCAGTCTCAGAAGAACCTTTTTGAAGCCAAGTTTTATGGGCTGATCAAGTGGTAGATCTGGGTCATGAGTCACATCTTCAGGACAAGCCCCATAGGTGAAAATGACATCAGCCCAATGAGGCCCAACATCATCCTCAAAGAGGGAGGAAGGAATCAAAGAGGGAAGGAGAGAAATGAAACAATTTTAGGGCACTTAGGAGTCCCAGGGAGGAAGGCTTTATGTAAACATTGGCAATTTACATGGCCTTCCCCTGGTCAAGGTGGGCATCATTACTTTACACAGCTATAGGTCAAAATTTAACCCAAAACAGGATTTTATCTAAGTGGGGTGGTTTGAGGGACAGAATAGGCCACTACATCCCACATAACTGTCCCCAAGCAACCTGCCCTAGCAGCTGAAATTCCACCATCTGTTATCTGTTTCTATGGATTAAATCTCCACAGCCTGATAACCTGAAAATGTGTTTCAAAGGGCATTACACATATGGACCTTTTTATCAGTCACGAGTGCTTGGGTATAAAGTACCCTACCAGACTCCTTTGTAACTCATCATCTATCTGATAACAGGCTTTAGAGAAATGGATACAGGATGAGGAAGCTCGGTTTCGGGATGCGAACCAGATGAATAACAAAAGCAAACTAGGATGACCGGGTGTGGGGACGGGTCAAGTGCTACCATCGAGAGCTTATGTGCTTTGCCCAGGTCACTGCAGCGACAGGACTTGGGCCCAAATGTTTAAACACAGAGGACTGGGTGGGGTTCCCAAATTGCCCAACGAGAGGACATCTGCTTGGGAGCCACCTGGAAAGGTCATTTCATGAAAGCTCCCTCTGGAGAATCTCCCTCATGAGACTGTGCTAGCCCAGCCACACTTCTACAGGAATGTCTCTGGAACACATCTCTGAAACATTCACCCTTTTTACAACAAAACTGGGCCTGGAGTCTTCTTCCAAAGAACCCCAAGGACCCTCACTAGCATCCTAAACGAGAAGCAGGAGAGGCAGGGATCTCTCGGGACCTCAGGGACCTTCAGATCCAGGACACACGGTGACAAGGTCTGGACTAGCCAATCAGGAACTTCCCTGGAGACTCCTTACCTCCCGGTGCCGGAGCTGTAAATTCTGGCCTTCATAGTACAAGTTGTAGGTCTTCAGATGCAAGAGAAGTTCATTTCTTAGGGGGAAAATATAAGAGGTAAAACATGATCAGCTGAAGCCACTTATAATGCAGTTGTTCCCTCTTTCTCTCACCTCTCACCTGGCCTTCAGTCACCGCACTTTGGTGTTTGTCCACATGTACGTACACACACATGCACATGCACACAGAGTTCTGCCGCCACCACCCCGTAACCATGTTCCCCCAGGATCAAAGTCAAGAGTGAGCACCACCCCAGAACAATGCTGAATGTAAAGAGCAATTCCAGGACACCAAGGCAGGCCTCGTCTGCTGACAATACTCCCAAACTCAAGCCGAATGAGCAGGTGTTAATAAACCATGGATTCACTGAGGCAAGTACTTCAGAGCCCACAGACAGCCATTCTCCTGCCTGGCTGTGGCCTCTTCTCCCTCAAGCACACTGTGTGTGAGGAAAGGACAATAATGACAGGCCTTTGTAAGACTCAGAAGCTGGCCAGGCGCGGTGGGCTCACACCTGTAATCCCAGCACTTTGGGAGGCCAAGACCGGCAGATCACTTGAGGTCAGGAGTTCGAGACCAGCCTGGCCAACATAGTGCAAACCCATCTCTAATAAAAATACAAAAAATCAGCCAGGCATGGTGGTGCACGCCTGTATTCCCAGCTACTCAGGAGGCTGAGGCAGGAGAATCACCTAAACCTCGGAGGCAGAGGTTGCTGTGAGCTAAGATCATGCCACTGTACTCCAGCCTGGGCGACAGAGTGAAACTCTGTCTCAGAAAAAAAATAAAAGACTCAGAAGTTTCCAGGCTGTTCAGAAGCGAAATGGGACAGGTTTGAGCCACGCTAACTTATGCTTCATAGACATGACCTTATCATGTGTTTAAAAACTTGTGGCCAGGAGCAGTGGCTCATGCTTGTAATCCCAGCACTTTGAGAGGCTGAGATGGGCAGACTGCCTGAGGTCAGGAATTCGAGACCAGTCTGGCCAATATGGTGAAACCCTGTTTCTACTGAAAATACAAAAAAAGAAAAAAAATTAGCCAGGCATGGTGGCGTGCACCTGTAATCCCAGCTACTCGGGAGGCTGAGGCAGAGGAATTGCTCGAACAAGGGAGGTGGAGGTTGCAGTGAACCGAGATTGTGCCACGCACTCTAGCCTGGGCAACAGAGCGAGACTCCATCTCAAAAAAAAAAAAAAAAAAAAATTGCAAACCCCCATCAGCGTCAGAATGGGTGAATAAAGGAAGCAATAGCTACACAATGGAAAACTCTCAGCAAAGAGAATGTGAATAAACTACACACATGTGTGTAACTCATGGGAATTACAGAATCTGTGCTTTTCTTGTGTCTAGCTTCTTTCACAAAAAAGCACAGATCATATTCCATTGATATAAAGTTCAAATGGAGTGTTAGAATTCAGGATAGTGGTTCACTTTGGGGAGTAGTGACAAGAAGTGGGCGTAAGGTGGCTTCTGGGCCCTGGCAATACTTTTTCAGTTCATAAAAATTTAAAAAATAAAAAATAAAAATCCTTAGAAACTCCCGCTCTGAAGCCCAGTACTGTACCTCCTTAGCCATCAAGTTTTCCAAGTGGCTGCCCTGAGAGTACACAGCTCTACTGCACATGGCCAGAGAGGAGATTTCACCCACTTTGTGATCAGGGAAATCCCTCATCAACCCTGAGAATGCATGAGTCAAGTTTCATCTGAAAGTGCGTGTTTTGCACTCCAGGTGGGATGAGAGGGGAGAGAGGTGGAGGGGGCCACTGCGCGCTTTTGTCTAGTCTCAAGTAAGGGGTAACAGAGTTCAGTCTCTCTGAACCCAACCATTCAGTGGAGAGATTTTGGACCATGCCAGGAGTCAAAACCCACTGGAAATGCCAAGAAACTCCTGACAAGTTAAACCTAGATAAATCAACGTGGTTCTATGCAAGCTGAAATGAATTCTTGGAAAACGTGATTCCAAATAACCTAAGACGAAAGGCTGTTTGGTACTTTTGAACTCACAGATCTGAACCGGGATAGAAAATCACTGGTTGGTAGAAGTCCCTGGGGAAATCTGTCCCTAAAGAGGTAAGAATGGTCAGATGTTACAAAACATGTGTCAAGGGTGTCTAAGGACTTTAAACAATTTGATCTCAGATAAATTAAATATTTCATTAAGAGACAGAAATTCTAGCTGGGCATAGGTGGCTCACGCCTGTAATCCCAGCACTTTGGGAAGCTGAGGCGGGTGGATCACTTGAGGTCAGGAGTTCAAGACCAGCCCGGCCAACATGGTGAAACCCCGTCTCTACTAAAAATTTAAAAATTAGCTGGGTGTGGCAGCACATGCCTGTAATCCCAGCTACCCAGGAGGCTGAGGCAGGAGAATCACTTGAATTCAGGAGGCAGAGGTTGCCATGAACTGAGATCACACCACTGCACTCTAGCCTAGGTAACGAGGGAGATTCCTTCTAAAAAAAAAAAAAAAGAAGAAGAAGAAAAGAAAGAAAAAAAAAAAGATAGAGAAATCCCTATGCTGGACATAAAAATACATCCTCGAACGTCTAATTCAAGGGTCTCTTTTGGCTCAAGCCCAGTCACATTAGCAAAAAGCCTGAGCTGAAGAGACTTTAGTGCGTAGAAAGCAGTTAAATTGTCCCCTTCTATTCAGAGGGCACCTGTGCCAAATTCAGCGAGAACCAGAGAAGCCCCCGGACACATTACCCCAGCCAGGACTCCCTGGGAACACCACAGACAGGACGGGGAGCAGTGTCTGAGTCCGTTCTGGCTGCCGGATCATAGACTGGGTGGCTTCTAAACAACAGAAATTCATTTCTCACAGCTCTGGTGGCCAGGAAGTCCAAGGTTAAGGTAGAGTCAGTGTCTGGTGACAGCCCTATCCTCACAGACAGTGCCTTCTCACTGCGTCCTCACACCGTGGAGGAAAAACAAGCTCCCTTGGCCTTTTATAAGGGTACTTAGATCTAATCACATCCCAGAGGCTCCACCTCTTTTTTTTTTTTTTTTTTTTTTTGAGACGGAGTCTCGCTCTGTTGCCCAGGCTGGAGTGCAGTGGCCGGATCTCAACTCACTGCAAGCCCCGCCTCCCGGGTTTATGCCATTCTCCTGCCTTAGCCTCCGGAGTAACTGGGACTACAGGCGCCCGCCACCTCGCCCGGCTAGTTTTTTTTTTTTTGTATTTTTTAGTAGAGACGGGGTTTCACCGTGTTAGCCAGGATGGTCTCGATCTCCTGACCTTGTGATCCGCCCGTCTCGGCCTCCCAAAGTGCTGGGATTACAGGCTTGAGCCACCACGCCCGGCCTAGGCTCCACCTCTTATACGGGCACCTTGGGGTGAAGTTTCCACATAGGAATTTGGGGGAGACACAAACATTCAGAAGATAGCAAACTGCCACCAGCCAACTGCTCCTCCTGGAAGCCTTCCAAGACACCACATCTTTTGAGCCCTCAAAGGTACTGCATCTTGACATCCCCTTTACTTCACTTCCAGGCCAGGCTCTGCGGGCATGTTTTTATCTATAGCAGCCGCCCTCATGCTCTCACAAGTCCAAGTTCAGCCGCTTGACTCCTTCCCACACACAGGAGCCCCGCCAGTCTGATAGACAGGGGAGGCCCCTGTGCCAGCGGCTGCGGTCCACCCACAACATCCCAGCGTGGGACTGGTCACTGGGGACAAAACTCTCTAGCAAAACGTCTTACTTGGAAATGTATTTATCTTGTCCACACGGGACTAGGGACGTTTGGTGACTGTAGTCCATTCTTCCTTTCTCTTTTCATCGGAAGGAGAGGCCTATATTTGGAAGGAGAAGACAGGTTAAATTCAGGTTGTGTCCTTGGGAACTCAGCAGAACCTGGGGTGGGGAGTGGGCACAAAAATTGGACGCCATGGCTCTCCATTCCTTCCCACCCAGATCCACAGCTAACACTGACCCAAGGCTGTGAGAGGCAACACTGCTGGCTGCTGCCTTGGCTTACCACAGCCTCCGAGAACAAACATCCAAAGGAAAGACGACAACCCCTGGACAATCCAAGCATGAATGCCCCAGCCACAGAGCACACTGACACCCACGTTGGCTCCAAGGATGACTGATGAGTCCTCCTCTCTGAAGAGACCACCACAACACAGAATAGAGAGTTATCTCAGGGACAGCCCGATTCTACTGAGGTCTACTGAGGATGGGTAAACCACCTAAAAATGCCCAAATATAGCCGAGTGTGAGAAATCACAGTATGTGTCTACAGACACCACTAAAATATGACAATGTGAAAGACAATTTAATTATAACTATACATTACAAAAACACAGGTAACAAAACTATGGGTCCAATTTTGTTTAAAATCTATGTAAGTATAAAATATGCATATACATACACACATTTACATGTATAAATATTTATTGAGATAGGTATATATATATATGTCAGGATTTCTCCACCTTGGCACTATTACCATTTGTTTTGTTTTGTTTTGTTTTTTGACAAGGAGTCTCTCTCTCTTCGCCCAGGCTGGAGTGCAGTAGTGTGATCTCGGCTCAGTGCAACCTCCATCTCCCAGGTTCTGCTGCCTCAGCCTCCCAAGTAGCTGGGACTACAGGTGCCCACCATCACGCTTGGCTAATTTTTTGTATTTTTAGTAGATGGGGGGTTTCACCATGTTAGCCAGGCTGGTCTCAAACTCCTGACCTCAGGTGATCCACCCGCCATGACCTCCCAAAGTGCTAGGATTACAGGCATGAGCCACCATGCCCAGCAGCACTATTACCATTTGGACCTGGCTCATTCTTTTTTTATTTCTATTTGTAGAGATGGGATGTCACTTTGTCACCTGGGCTGGGAGTGCAGTGGCATGATCATAGCTCACTGCAGCCTCAAATCCCTGGGCTCCATCGATCCCCCTGTCTCAGCCTCCCGAGTAGCTGGGACCCACCGCCCCTGGGCTGGGACTGTTCTTTGGCATGGAACTGTCTTGTGCATCGCAGATGTTTAACAGCATCTCTGGCTTCTACTCACTAGATGCCAGCAGCACTACCCCAGTGATGACGACTAAAACTATTGCCAGACACTACTAAGTGCCCTCAGGGGCAAAATCACATTACTCACAACAGCCCAAAGGTGGAAGCCACCCAAGTGACCACTGATGGATGAGCAGATAAGCAAAATGGGGTATATGCATCCAGTGGATCACTATTCAGCCTTAGAAAGGAAGGAAATGCTGGCACATGCTAGAACATGGGTGAACCTTGAAGACATTATAACAGGCCACACCCAAAAAGAAAAATACCGTATGATTCCACTTTTATGAGGTACCTAGAGTAGACAAAATCAGAGACTGGTTTTATAGAATGGTGATGCTTCAAAACATAGAACGGTGGTTGCCAGGGGCTGGGAGGAAGGGGAAATGGAGAGTTTCTTAATGGGAACAGAGTGTGCAAGAGGAAGAGAGCTCTGGAGACAGATGGTGGTGATGGTTCTCCAACATGTGAAGGTACTTAATGCCACTGAACTGGACACTTTAAAATGGTTAAGATGGTAAACTTTATGTGTATTTTACCACTATATACATATATATGTGTGTGTGTACATATATATATATATATATATATATATATATATATATATATATATTTTTACACTTTTTTTTTTTTTTGGACAGAGTCACTCTCTGTCCACCCAGGCTGGAGTGCAGTGGCATAATCTCAGCTTACTGCATCCTCGACCTCCCCAGGCTCGAGTGATCTTCCCACCTCAGCCTCCCAAGTAGCTGGGACTAAAGGTATGTGCCACGATGCCCAGCTAGTTTCTTGAATTTTAGTAGAGACGGGGTTTTGCCATGTTGCCCAGGCTGGTCTTGAACTCCTGGACTCAAACAACCTGCTCACCTCGGCCTCCCAAAGTGCTAGGATTACAGTTGTGAGCCACTGCACCCACTCCACAATATATGTTTTAAGTGGAAGAGGGAGGCAGAGTATTACAGTGACACCATGTGAGAAGGATTCAACCTTCTGGAAGAAGGATCCATGACCCAAGGAACACAGACAGCCTCTAGAAGCCGGAAAAGCAAGAAAATGGACTTGTCCTAGAGTCTCCAGAAAAGAACACATCCCTGTTGATACCTTGATGTTAGCCCAGTGAGATCCATGTCAGACCTTTGAACTACAGAACTGTGAGATAATCAGTTAGTGTTGGCCAAGCATGGTGGCTCCTGCCTATGACTGCAATACTTCATGAAGCCAAGGCAGGAGGAGTTCGAGACCAACCTGGGCAACGGCAGGAGACCCCATCTTTACAAAAAAAATTTTTAAATTAGCTGGATGTGGTGCCACACACCTGTAGTCCTATAGCTACTTGGGAGTCTAAGGTAGGAGGATTGCTTCAGCCCAGGAGCTCAGGGCTGCAGTGAGCTATGATCACACCACTGTACTCCAGCCTGGGCAACAGAGTAAGACCTTGTCTCTTAAAAAAATAAAATAAAAAAATAAAATAAGGCCAGGCGCAGTGGCTTACACCTGTAATCTCAGCACTTCGGGAAGCCAAGGAGGAAGGATCGCTTGAGTCCAGGAGTTCAAGACCAGCCTGGGCAACATGGTTAGCCAGATGTGGTAGCGTGCACCTCTGGTCCCAGCTACTAGGGAGGCTGAGGCAGGAGGATAAACTGAGCCCAGGAGGTCAAGGCTGCAGTGAGCCACAATCACGCCACTGCACTCTAGCCTGGTCAACAGAGTAAGCCCATCTCAAAATTAATTAATTAAATAATAAAATAAAATAAAAATGAATTAGTGTTATTTTAAGCCACTAAGTTTTGGTAAATTGTTACTGCAAGTTACCATGGGCTGATTCCATTCAGAAAACTTAGACCTGGCTGGGCGCAATGGCTCACACCTGTAATCTCAGCATCTTGGGAGGCCGAGGAGGGCAGATCATGAGGTCAGGAGATCGAGACCATCCTGGCTAACACGGTGAAACCCCAACTCTACTAAAAATACAAAAAATTAGCCGGGTGTGGTGGCAGGCGCCTGTAGTCCCAGCTACTCAGGAGGTTGAGGCAGGAGAATGGCGTAAACCCGGGAGGCAGAGCTTGCAGTGAGCCGAGATCATGCCACTGCACTCCAGCCTGGGCAACAGAGCAAGACTCCATCTCAAAAAAAAAAGAAAACTCAGACTCTACCAGTGTACCCAAAAGTGGTACCCTGAGAACACAATTGGTCTCTCTAAATTTTAAATTTTATGTGTTTTTTTTTTTACTTTTCCAAAAAAGAAGAAGAATCTGATCATGAAAACTGGAGTGCACATGTAATGCAGAAAAAGGAAAGTCAAGCTAGTGAGAAAGCCTTTTTTTTCTTTTTTTTTTTTTTTTAGATGGAGGCTAGCTCTGTCACCCAGGCTGGAGTGCAGTGGCACGATCTCAGCTCACTGCAAACTCTGCCTCCCAGGTTCTAGCGATTCTCCTGCCTCAGCCTCCCAAGTGGCTGGGATTACAGGTACGTGACACCAAGCTCAGCTAATTTTTTGTATTTTTAGTGGAGATGGGGTTTCACCATGTTGGCAGGGCTGGTCTCAAACTCCTGACCTCAAGTGATCTGCCCGCCTCGGCCTCCCAAAGTGCAGGGATTACAGGCGTGAGCCACCACACCAGCCAAAGCTTTTCTTTTTTAAGTGACAATTACCCATAACTAGTCAGTGCCCCTTTTTGTAAAAAGGTGCCCCTTCTACGCATGTGTAAATCTATACATTCAACAAGCATTTATTGTGTGTCTACAATGTGCCAAGCGTCGTGCTCGCAATGGTGGCTCAGCAGCCAAGGAAACCTGTAATCCCAGCACTGGTACATGGTACAGGAGGAGGGGGATGTGTGGGGGCAGAGGGCTCTGTCAAGGGAGGGTGAGTGCTATGGTAGCAAACAGGAAGGACACCTACGGATAAGGGTGGTGTCCTGGGGGACTCTCTGGAGGAAGAGACCTCTAAACTGAGACCTCAGTGTCGGCAAAGATGAGGGGCAAGTGGGTCCAGGCAGAAAGAGCAGGCAACTCGGAACTGTGCGAGATGGGGTGGCATGAGCAGAATCCCAACCTGGAGAGGAGTCTGGACTTCATCTGGTGGGCAGTGCTGGGCCATGTGTGTGTGGAGGGTGAAGAATGGCCCCCAGAGACACCCGGGTCCCAACCTGGAGCCTGTGAATATTACCTTATATGGTAACAGGGACTCTGCAGATGTGATTAAATGAACGATCTTGAAATGAAGAGACTATCCTGGATTATCGGGGGGGGGGGCCCTAAATGTAACCACCAGTGTCCTTATAAGAGGGAGGCTCTGCCCCAGTAGAGAGAAGGCGACATGACAACTGCAGCAGAGGGAGAAATCTGAAGACACTGCACTATGGACAAAGACGGAGAAAGGGGCCATGAACCTTGAAGGCAGCTCACAAGCCGGGAAAGGCAAGGACACAGATTTGCCCCAGAGCCCCTGGTGTGAGCAGAGCCCTACCACTGGCTCAGTTTTGACCCAGAGAAACTGACTTCAAACTTCTGGACTCCAGAATATGAGTGTTACATTTCTGTTGTTTCAAACCACCAAGACCATAGTCATTTTTCTCGGCAGCAAGAGGAAAACCAGGGGAATTCCAAGGGCAGGGATGCGATCTGATGCGCATTTTGGAAAGGTCACCCACCCAACGCCTTGCTTTGTGGAGAAATAATCTGGGAGAAGAGCGGCCAGGGGACCAGTTGCCAGGCTGGAGCCCGAGTTGGAGAGACAAACTCTAGAGAGTTTGAAGAGGAAGAGGAAAGTCGTGATG